ACTTAGATATGTATGTGAACAAGTCAAACGCCCAACTCATTTAAAGGGTGTTGACTATGCATTCTTTCATTACAGGAAGTGAATGGTAAAATAAGTGTGTATTTTTTTACGGATTATTTTCCTTTACTTATAAATTTCAAGTAATTTATCAGATGATCAGATAATTCTTCCCGTAAGTTTATGCAGTTCATAAAAAAACCTACTAAACTTAGATTAATAAAAAATTTATGAAAGCGGATACTATAAAGAAACAGGAAACTGACACAGTTGTATATGTGATCAAGTTGATTGTGAAGTTCTACCATAAATTGTCATTTCAAATATTAGAAGATTTAATAGCACTTTTCTTTCTGTAACTAATAACTTCTTTCACTAGCTGCCAGTCATCTCATTGACAGATACATGTATATACATATATCTGTATATGATTACGGGCTGCTAGTACATTGGTTGATTTCAATGTAAGCAAAATGAAAAATAAAGAGTACCTAAGTATAATACTACTACTACTACTACTACTACTACTACTACTACTACTACTACTACTACTACTACTACTACTACTACTACTACTACTACTACTACTACTACTACTACTACTAGCATATGTAACTACTTTTTTAGTCAATTTAAACTATAGTATTTCAATAAAGATAAACAATATTTCCATTTGATCAGATAAAAATAATATCTTTTCAGTGACTTCATAATTGTATTAGTTTGCTTTTAGTTTCATGAAATACTATACAGCGTGCTAAGACAATAAATATTCCACGGGTTATTTCAACATGGGTTTGTGTAATTCGATCCTTGGTATCATGTGACTGTGATATCTAAGTCTGATATATTTTTTTATATTAATACTCACGATAACAATGGCTTCACTCAGTAATTGATATATACTACAATATACATTTGCTAGTACCGAATATTTTATCAAGTTTTCTGTACAGAATAATTAGTGATCGCCAGTTGGACGTAAGCAGTCTAAGCATCAAGGTATTATTATCGTTCATTTTATTCTTAGCTGATTGTCAGCCGACATTGTAGTTTGTCGAACCCAGTAAATTAACAGCTTGTAATCTTTATGTACTTGCCTCAACAGATTATACGAATAATAGACACACGACTGACGTTCCTAAAACAAACAAGAAGAGGTAACTTGTTGAAATATTTACTGTCGGGAGACCGGTAGCCCGGATATTCAAGCAGCTGGCCATTATTATACACATTTGTATTTGATTTGTTGGAAAAGTAACTAATCTACTAAAAATCCAGTAAATAAGAAGTGTGGTGTTTCTGTTACAGTATTTATAAAATACTGGACTACAGTTTAACGAAATTAATTTTAAACGTTAGAACAACTTAACGAATGAATAATTAAGATCAATAATCCTGATAATAATCCTTGATAAAAGTCTACAATTCTGTGTTTGACCTATTCTGAGGTAATTACACTTTGATCGATACACGATATAAGTTTCATATTGTTTGTTAAATAAGCCTTTTAAGAATAAGGTATTATGCTTCACAGTTAAAGTATGTTATAGACAGTTTTCAGCATTGTATACCAATAAAAATACTCTAACAAGACAATGCAGACTTTTGTTTTTTCACAGTATTTGCCTAAATCAAATGTGAAGAGACAAGCAAATTAAAAAGCATTTCTACTAAGTTTCATTCACTTCAATACAAAGAGGCATTTAAAATTTGATGTAAATACTTTTCTTACATAACATGTTCAACTGTAAGTTAGTTAGTCTGTGAGAATGGATTACTTGATAGATATTGATAACACAATAATTGTATTTATGCTAAAATCCATGCGCATCAATCAGGATGAAAACAAAATTAATCTGTTAAAGTAGTAGTAGATATTAACAGTTAAATGTTTTATTTTATCTTTATTGAAATTACAAACAAACCAATCCAGTGTCACGTTGTATTTTTTTCAAAAGATAACAACATCTTTAAAAAATTTGATTTGTGAAGAAAGTATTAGATTGGATTTAATTTATTTCTCTTCTCATTGTTGTTGACGGGATTTTTTTTCTAATCATTTGGGAATTGTGATTGAGATTATGTAGTTTCATAAAACAAGGCATGCAATAAATGCAAATTCAACAAACTGATAGCAACTAAAGTGATTCAATAAAAACATTTATCAATAACCCATCAACATTGTAACAACAACAACAACGAGAAGAAAATTTATTAGCAAAAAAAAGATAAACAATGTAAATTGTTTGTTTACCCTTTTTTTTCTTTAGATTTTGAAACAAAATAAAAAAATATTTTTATTTTTTTAATGTGTTCATGAAGTAAAATGTAAATAAATCTCTTATTTATGCAGAAAAAAAATGCTAACAAATGTACTTTTATCATTGCTAACAGACAACAAATAATTTGTGGTTAGATACTGTGAGGAAAAGAAAACAACAAACAAATTTCAATAGGGAAAAAAAAATTGTTATTCAAATTTTTTGTATTATTGAGGAGTCCTCAACGAAAATGTTACTCTTGATTATATATATTACTAAGTGATAGGAATCAAGAGGAAAATGTGAAATCTATGCAAAAAAGAAATGTTAGGAAGAATCAGTTACAACTTTGGAATCGAAACTTTTCTTTTCAACTCAAGTTGTTCAACTGAATTGATAATTAGTCTAAATGTATAAATATAATTTATTAAAGAGTGAGAAAGAGAGTGTGTGAAGTCGAAGTGTTTAGAAATACAAAAAATATTGAATAGTTGTTTGTTTAGTCGATAGTTCGTTTTACACGTAGGTTTTACTGACTCACCAACTCAAGCTTATTCTTTGTGAACGATGAGAATATTTTCAAGCAGTTATTCTACTTTTATCCTGTATATATAACTCTTTAGTCTACTTTTATTACTAAAACTGTCTATTTTGTATAATTATTAATTAAGTGTTAATACAACATTCAGTCAACTCTAAGCTATCTTCATCTTGTCATTTTCTCACTAGACATTAGTATATTACGCACCACTCTTTCGATATTCGTTATTTCCAAACAAATCATGGCAGAAAACTGCTTTATTTTTCTTAATGTACCATCCTATGTTTTAAATTAGTTTCACTATGACTGTAAATCTTTGGTTGATCAAATCGTCTTTAATGAGTTTTCACTGAACAGTTTCTAGTTTGAAATAAAATTATTTTAGCTCAGCTTGTTGAACTTCATTCATTTTAAATATATGAACAAGACAGATGAAAAATAAGGCCTTAGTACTTTCCGAAGGTTGATCAATATTATGGTCAGTGAATGTAATTGAAAAGCAAAATATATTTATGCTTTCTGTAAATTGAAAAGTTTATATCCTCAAGTTTTGTGCAAAATTAAACATCATTTTGTGTATTTTATGTGATGTTACTCATGAAACGAAAACTGAAATACCATCACCGACCCAACAGAAACCATATGTTTTCCTAAAGTATTCATTCAAACACATTTGATATGGACACTTGACTGTTGGAGTTTGAATATCCACATTAACAAAATGATGTCAATAATATTTATTACATAATTTATGTTAAATAGCGAACCCTAGATTTCATATGGCTAGAATTCCTTTAATTTGGTAATTACGAGGCATTCTAGTGAATAGTGTTTCATTTTTTTGGAGACATTTTAACTGTCTGCGTAGGCATAAGAATTTTTTAAAGTTAAACACAGCTAATCTCTTTGTTATTACTGCCAAGTAAATAATATAACAGGTGGAAATTTGTTTTTCTTACCTATGATTTATATTCAATCAGTTCAAATGAACCTCATAATTCATCATAAAATGAAGTAGAAAAAATAATTTACATTGAAAAATAATTAACTGTCAACTGCAAGGAAACACATTTTATGTCATGCATCACAATGAATTCTCACTACACTATTCGCCTGTCTAAATTTTTGATTTACTTGTTGTTATTGCATTCGACAGTTTATAATAAGGCTTATTATTATTATTATTTTTCCTGTCATCTGTTAATCTGCATATTATTGATCTACTGAAATACTCAACTCGTGAAATGCACATATCATGCCTTCGACTAGATAAACACTTCAATATTTTGATATGTAAATTATTGACATCCACTTTTGAGTGTTTTTGACAAGAAAAGGAAAACAATATTTTTTTTATTGTTATTACTAACGAAGGCGAGATCAGTAGTAGTAGTAGTAGTAGTGAATAATTTTTCATTGCGCGAAATTTCCTCGTTGATTTGATGAATTGTGTTTACAGATTACTATACATTGATTGAATTTAGAACATGTCGACTCGATGCATAGAAATGAATACAGAAAAAACATTTATATATCAAACTTATTTTGATGTTTTTAAACGAAGTGATTAATTTTGTGTTTGGTTTTAAAAATGAAATTGAAAAAAAAGACTACGACTAGTTTGCTTTTATTTTTGTAAACATTATAAGAGTTCGGATGTATTTATGATGACGATTAGGCTGTTTAAGAATTGCTTTTTCAACACTCGTTAATATATGCAAAAATATAAATATTATTGTTTAAGAAAAAATCTTTTATTATTGTTATTTTCTTAATGATACATTTGACAAATAAAAAGATTGTGACATACCTAATTCACATCGATAAGGATTTATTCAAAACATTTAAAACATACATCCGGTGTAAAGCTGGCTATTTTACGTCAACTTATGCCTACTTTCGAATATTGTACCAACTAAATGATTTGAAATGAAAGCAGTTGTCGTTGGCGTATTATGTTAATTAATGGTATTAGTTATTTTTTTAGAAGTGATGTGTGTCATTCTTCATTTATTTACTAGTAACATTCAGTGTATAAATGAAGGTTTTTTTGACTTCGGCTTTGCGTATTTTAATAGGTGACAGTATAATGATGAAGTGGTTTGACATTGATTTGTGCTTATATAGTTATTTGAGGTGTTTTTAGCGAGCTGACCGATTTGGCTTCACACTTTTATATTCACACGTTTATATTTGAAATGCGAACAATAATTAAACAGGATAGTGAGTAGTACTCTACTCGAAGATAGGTCATTGTGCTGAACAGGTTATAGTAAAAACCAATTGCGAATGATTTTGTGAATCGTTATTTTTTTTACGAAGTTATTAAATGGTATTAGTTGACAATAGATATTTCAGAAAAACGTGGGTTATAAAATGCGATTAAGCTAAAAATATTTTTGCCGATCCAAATCTAAAATAGCTGATTACATATCATTCATGTGTTAAACCAATATCAGAAACCTGGAAGCACTGGACGGCTGTTTCGTCCTGTTATGAAACTCATCAGTAGTGTGCATCCATGACTCCTGCAACTTTCAAGACTCGAACCCAGAACCTTCTGTCTTGCGCACCAACGTCTTACCCCTGGACCACTGAACCGGCACCTGAATGTGTTGATGTCTAATGTCGACAAAATGGCCGTCTAGTGCATTCAGGTTTCTAACGGTGATCTAACATTGATTGATTTTATGATTTCAAAAGTAACTCAACAATTTCCACAACCCTATAATTTAAACCCATTTATAGTCTTATTGTCTTAAAACTTAGGTTTTTATAATATCCATTAGCCGATCTGATCTAACTGCAGCTCTATAATAGATTAGCATAAAATAATTCTATATATTCAGAAGGGTTTTATAGTTTTATATGTCCAGTCTCACAAACGCGCGAAAATCATCTTTAAAAAACGTTCCACCTTATCGTTGAAATTCTCTTTTTAAGGCTTAGTTAAGCTTATTGCTTTTTCAGTACTACTTTATTGAGTGTTAACTGAATAACAAGAGTTATATTTACCCAAAAGTTTTAATAATAACTTCAACATAAGTTTATTTTCCAATTAAACTGTAAGTGAACATCTGTTTATCATAAATGAAAATTCAAACACATTCCTTCTTCCTATATTTTCTTTCTTTTTTAGAGAAATAGACGATGTATCTTGTGATAAGTTGCATTTGGATATATGGTAAGTTAAATAATGCAATTCAACAGTTTTTAAACAACCATTTTATTCATTAATCTGATCTAAATATCTAGTTTTTAACTGTACAAGGTATGTTTCTTAACAATTAACCAGTCATTCTAACTTACTATTTTGTACAGTCATATTTCAAACGACTGTATAACAAAATGATAATTTCTATACTAACGTTTATATAAATCTATGTTTATTGTTACTAGGTTACGATTAAATAAAATGAAGCTTGATGAAAAATTCAGAAAAATTGATTTATTTAGTACATAATTGTGATTAAACTTCAAGAGCCAAACCATGTAACAGAATATACCCATTAATAATTCTGATTTTCTTGTATTGATAAACAACACTTTTAAGTATATATTTTGATGTTGATGAACTGTTTGAAGTTAGTAAATTTGCACTTGAAATAAAAACATACTGAATTGTGCATTATAGTATTCATAACAGACATTATAAATCGAATCAATTTCCTCCAAATACGGATTACACAAAAGTAAAAATTGACTGACTATTAAAATTCAGCTCAGCTGCCTAAAATGTGGGCTTTTGCCTCGAGTTTTGATGGCTCGAAGTTAGACGTTTTTCTTGGGATGCAGGTGTCCAATACAGAGAAGTCCGATTTTAAGACTAAACATTTATTGACTGCTATCTTTGTACTGACGGTTTCCATATTATGTAAGCCTATCAGAAATATCACCAAGAATGAATTTTTTGATTTTACTTTCGAAGATATTGCAAAATAGTTTTGAGTATAAATGTATGCTCCGTAATGAGGAGTCTTATACTAAGACAATTCAGCCTTTCAATGCTTACAATTAAACTATGGTGGTCTAGCTGTGATAGGTTCATGAATACAACTGAGAAAATACTACCCTATCCATAAACCCAGTTTACCGATAGTTATGAGATTGTCATTGTTCTCATGTTTGATATCAATATTGGCAAATGTTTTTGAGTTTTTAAATGGATTTTTTAATTTTTTTTTCTTCCGGAAGTACGTCACTCATCATTAATTAGGTAAATGCTTACAATAATGCGCTACCTGATCATCCAACTGTGAATCATGCTTATTTTTAGTCCTTAGATTGATTTTGCTGCAGATTATCATAAGACCAGTACATTAAATATTAATAATCTTTTGACTTAAAAATGTGGATGAATAAATTGCGGCGTTTTGTGGAAAAACTCAGATGACATAACAAACAAGCAACAGAAATCAGACAATAAACTATCTAAGATGGATTATAAATTTCGACTAGGATTTGTGGATGCATGAATTTATTTGTGTGGTACTGATCACATTTTATTAATTAGCGTTTTATCAAAATGTGGATTATGAGACGGGCGAAAATCGTTCAGTGCTCCGAGTAAAACATTTCACCATAGTAGACTTGTGGAATTCAGTTCTTAAAACAAAAAAATTAACCAACGAATGAACATTGTATTGCTAACAGATTTATTGATAAGCCAAGAAATACCATTTCGATTATTCATGTTTCGCCTGTGAAATTTCAATAAATCACGAGTAGATTGAAATTGGACGTATTTATCATTTAGTTATTTGAGAAATAGTGTCTATTATTGTTTCTATGAAGTTGGAAGGAAAATAGTTTGTGAACTTAAATCCAAAACCACCTCACAACTTTTACATATCATCATTGTGCCATTCGAAAACATTCAAATTCAGTAAATTAATGCTGTATTCGCGAAATGACCTACTGACGGTATAAATTATCAATTATTTTATCTGAATCCTTACATTTGTGACACACGTTTTATGCACTTAAAACAGAGATGGACAGTGTTCGAAGTTGAGTTAAGCCGAAAACAAGGATGAAACTCATTTGAAAGGTCTGGGAATTTCTCGCTACCAAATAGATTATTAATTAACCAAATTATAAGTCATTTAAGCATGAAATCGTTGGATCGTGTAATAACAATAAGGTTTCATTATTTTCAATATCTCTTAACATCAGAAAACGTTAGGAATGAAAGAATGAATTTTTAAACTAGTTACATAATTTATATGGTTTACTTGGACATTATAAAAATATTTATAAACAGCCGATGCAACCGGTATCCGATATCTTGTATTTCTCCATCAGTTCAAATTCAGTACTTAGACTTACTGAGTTGATAAGTAAAGATGACTACGTTTAGACAATTATTACCATACAGAGATAATTTTAGGTTGACAATATAGTGAAGGTATACTTTATTTCACTTACGTATTATGTTGATCGCTTTGCTAGTTATGATACTTAACATCCTCAGAAATATACAACATGTTTTCACTTCGTCTGCAAGAATTACAAGTAGGTGAAGAAGAATAGCCCTAGATCTTTCGATTCTTAAATGAAATTCATTATTAAATCTATCAGTTAAAACTGTTCGATAATAATTTGACAATATCGGTAAGATAAAAAAGAACTGCGATAAAATAAATTCATGTTTTTCTAAGGATTTGTAAGTAGATGATGTAATACGACTAGAATATTGCAGGTAGTAGTTGCTGGTAAATAGCATTTTAATTCTCAACCCAAACAATTTTTCAAGCAAATGTCTATTCGATGTATGCATTTCACTAAAACAACCAATATAAAAAGCTAGTGAATAACACCTCGAAGTTGTATGTGTCACTAATGAAATATCGATTGTTCATCTTAGTTAAATTATGAAGAAAACCTCATATTAAAAAAAGTTATTCCTTATAGATTTCATTATTCTTAACTAAACCAGACTAGAATACTAAACACTGAAGCATAGTTTAGGGACGTCATGGTTCCAAAGTTGTTGATTATCTATGTAAGTATAGAATATATCGTTATAGAGGAGAGTTTGATTTAATAGCTGGCAGCTCTGAGTTATCTTAGCTAGATGAAAACTGGAAATCAGGAAGCTCTGGACAGATGGTTTTTCGTAGTATCGGACTCTTCATTAGTGGGAATCATCTACCTTATCGAGGTTTGATTTTATGAACCTCGAGTTTCGTATCCAATTTTTTGCTTAGATCTGTCAGTGAAATATACTGAGATTTTTTTTTTCTTCACTAATCTTATTTAATTTTAACAATAACATGCTGATGTGTGACTTGTAGTTCATGGATTTCTAAGAAGAAAGCGTGGCCTCTGGAAATCGACTGTTGCTGAGGTGATTACGTATTAGTGGTAATGAGAGGTGATTCACAATGTTGCAAATTGACTATAGTTTGGTATTTAAACCGTTGTATGCATGTACAGCAGTCTGTAGACTAGATGTTCACTTGAAGAACTAATGGTCCTAGGTTCGATTTTTAGCGCAGTCATAGATGCATACTTTTAATCACTGATACACGAGGGCGAAATGGTTCATTTCGAATTTCATTAGTTATCGAAATAATATTTATTCGTAGTTTCAAATATAATATTCAACAATTCATAATTTCAACCAAATTATTTTATTTACTTGTGAATCTTTTAGATTGAGTTTTCGTGCAAAAATAAGAGTTAAGAAAATTTTGCTAAATACCACTAAACATAAGAATAATGTTTATTGAGTCAATGTCACATGAGAAATACAGTAAAATTATTTGACCTTGTCTTTCGCATACTATTCCATTTATTTTCCATTGAAGATAGTTATTTCAAGTTTAACAAGCAGCATAGCCAAATCAACTAAGTCATCAGTCATATTTTTAAATAAACAAATTACAGAAAATGTTTTACATTCTATAAACAAAATTGGAACTATGATTACTTCCCTCGGAAAAGAAATCAAGTAGCGTCATGTAACTACTTCATCATTTAAAAGGAGAGGGGAATTTTATTACGGATGAAATCAACAATAAAGCAGTGGAAAAAACTAGTTATAGGGATTATTCTAACAAGTGGAAATTTTTCGGTAGCAAAAAAACTTCTAATAGTGTTAATTAAACATGTACAATGTGTCGTAAAATATAATATTCCAGAACTTATACAATGTAAACTTAGGTGGTAATATTTTGTATTTCTGTATTCCTTATATTGTAAACTATGACATATTCTCATTAAAAATCAATAATGAACAATGTAAATGACCTGAATTACTTTATTTAACATGAAAATATAGGAATTATAAGCTTACATTATTGTATTCAACATCGATAGCTTGTCTACTGTACTTTAAAGAGATGAAAATATGGTAGAATTTAGCATTATTAGGATAAACTTCATTGAATTGGCAACTTTTTCATAGAACACTTGCGTGAAAACACATAATATGAATGTACTGATCCCATATTACACCACTATTCATATTTGTACGGAGTATGAAAAAATATGCCTGACATACAGGTTTCACTATTTCAAAATGTTAACTTCAGCCTATTCATCAAAACTAACTAGTTCTCATCAGGTTTCCAATAGAATTTATAAATTTTCAAACCGTTATGGTTTTTACTTGTATCATATATGATGTAAATGCAACAATTCATGTTAATTGAGATTGAAAACAATTAGTCCCTTTTATAAATTTTGATAGAACAGTGAGAAGACGTAATTGATCTGAAAAATGTGATGTATTTGCGCTATACATTTCGAACAATCTGGTCACACATATTTACTTGTCAAGGCATTTTATATGAAGATGAATATCTATTTGAACTTTTATTTAATTGACCTTTTATTCATCTTCATATAAAATGCCTTGACAAGTTAATATGTGTGACCAGATTGTTCGAAATGTATAGCGCAAACACATCACATTTTTCAGATCAATTACGTCTTCTTACTGTTAATTGAAATTCCTAAAGACTGGCAGCATATCGCACAGAATGATTCATTAACTCGGTCTTTCTCAAACCAAATTTCAACCAATCAGTAACAAGTTTGAATTTTGAAACATTTAATTTTATTCAGGTTTCGAGTTGATTTCAGAAAAAAAAGTTATGCAATATATTGCTTTGTGTTTAGTATATGAATGGGCAAGTGATAAATGAGTTTTATGATAGGTTTAATAGTATATCTATTTTCATACTCAGAAATGGATATACATTCATTCAGACTTCATAGTTTTTAGCAAATTGTTATTTACCCTACATTTACGTAAATTAAATTATACTATACTGTGCATACGCCTGAACATTCGACCATGATTCATCTTCAATCAAACATTTTCCGCTGATGTTTTTATCAGTTAATCATCAAAACGTGGCATTGAATTCATTAAATTCAAACGTTTTTAAATTCATTGTTCTCATTAGTTAATCATAGTTTCTCGATTCTTTCCATCGTTTTCGCCTAAACAATCCTTGTTGTTATTATCAGAGTTTTATTGTTTCAAAAATAAAACTTCTGAATAACGAAATTTTGTTCAGTTTGTATTTTGATTATCTACAGAAACCATAAATACAGAATATTACAAGAAAATTCACTTAACAAACTGTCTTGTAGATAGATTTACGTTTGTTTTGTGACTAGAGAATATGTAAATGAAAAAAATAAATTATTAAATCTAACCAGTTATAATAATTATTTAGTAAATAATAAGTCTAGTTATAAAAGATTTGTGTGTGTGTGAAAAAAAAAACAGTGGATGATAATTTTTTTTTTCAGAGTTGTATTTTTCATGTTTACTCCTCCTACTGATCAGGTTACATATTACACTGTTTATTATTATTTGTATGCTGAAATAGTGAGAAATTATAATCGACAGTTAGAGAGATTGTTGTAAACGTGTAGAAAATGAGGCAGAAATTGTTATTAGGATGCCTAAATATTACATTATATACATCTATTGCGTGCAAGTCTAAAATACGACAATACAATGTTTATAACTGAATGTAAAATGAACACGATGTATCTGGGAAAATAGTTTCAGGTTTTCGTGAATAATTCGTGTTAAATTATATCACTTTCGTTCACTAGTGATTTCTGTTGTATATTAGAAGCAAATATTAGGAAAAAAAGGACTAAGAGTGTAGTTGGGATTTGGTTAATTATTTTGATATTTTTTTTACTGAATTTCATGCTGTTATTTTAAGATCAAGCGTTGATGCAGTCGAATTGAATAAATAGAATTATATTTCTGTGACAATTCAGTGGTACTTATGAACAAGATTGATTGAGTATTCTGCTTTTTCGAGGAACAAACAGGCTGAATAACCATCAAATCTTAAACTTGTTTATGTGCAACACGTTTCTATTCCAACTGTGTTCATTAAACTTATCTTGCCAATGACAGACAAAAAATCTATCAAATAAATACCACTATATTTACAGCAATATGTTCGCTGTTTGCATACAGCGATATCCATCGTCTGTTTTTGCCTATTCTCTTACTGGTTGTAGCTGAAGTCGATCGATAATTTATGACTCATATATACATTTGATGTTTAAAACAAAACTCACATGCTCTTCTCTCTGCTCGTCTGATGGTTAAATGTGCGGTCTGCTACACTAATAATCCACTTGTACTTTCAGTCAAACTAATATTCGACATCTCAATCTCTCGAATGGGATTAAATTTAAGTAAACTCTGCAGAACAATAGGTTACAAGTTAAACAGTTATATTAAAATGTGTGGCAATCGAACAACCACCCGCTTTGATTTCAAAACAAATTTCATGAACAAACTAATAATAATAATAATGTGATAGGTAAATATCTCAAAAAAAGATTATCTGGGGAATAATACACTTTCTAGAATCTTCGTAAAACCATATTTTAATCGCTCCAGAAACAATGTTTACATGCTTTTAAAGTTGACAGTAAGCTCTATTGAAGACACTATGGATAATCACTAATAATCTGATCAACTAATTTATTTTTCTACTTTCAGGGATCACGATGAAGAAACCAGTGTATTAGAAGCAGTTCGAAGTTTAAATGAAATTCGTGGTGTCAAACAGTTAGGTCGTTACTTTAAACAAGTCAGTCAATCTGCTCGTAAAAATCAAACTGGCGATGTAGATGATTTCTTGGGTTGTGTTACAATCGATATAAAGGTAACTGAATCCACTGATGTTGCATACCGTTTTATCTAATGCATCATTTATACAGTAGGATGTGAATTAAGGGACACTGGCGAAAGAGTTACTTGGAAGTAGGATTCAACCAATAGGTACAGTACTTTTGGAGACTGATCGATATTTGTATACAAATTAACGATACTCCAAACACCTACTGAGTGATGATTCCTCTAACCTTTTCTCTATTCGTTTCTTTTTAAATAATGTAATTATCAGTCTGTAAGGAAAATAATCTCAATATGATTCAACCTTCACAAATGGATACATTGAATTTCATTATATGTTTACTGATGCCTGTGAAGTAAATAACAAAAAGTCAACAATAATGAATTTTTTGTTGAACAAATCATCATTGTACATCCATATTTTATTATTAGTTTGCAGTCTGTGTACCGGCTTACTGGACGATAGCAAAATACATCTTATTTGTAATAAATTATTTCCAGTTTGTGTTATCTAATGTATTACTAGTCTGTCTACATTAAAGCTGGAAATGTATATCGCATACTTTACAAGGACATAGGATAAAAATAAGTAGCTCAGTCTAACATCAAACGCATTCAGTGCACAAACATTTCCCATAATTTATTGATCAACTTTGAGTTATATAATCATAAAAGTTCTAAAATCTTGGTTTTCTGGTATTCAACGAGAATTAAAGAAGGAAATTTCTGGTAATCACTTCCCCCCTCTGTTATGATTTCCATCTTTAAAAGTATTTTCAAATGTCAACACAATGGGTTATACTGAACTGTACCAATTATTATTAAATGTTTACCTGCTTGAGTTTCATACTTTTAGCATCTGGATATGGACAAGGAGTTCAGTGAATATGATAATATTTTACTAGTAATCTTTTGTTCTTAATTCCTAACAGTCATGTATAATGATTACGAGTAGAAGGAAATCTAACTATTTATAATGTTTCATTAATAAACAAATTACAACTCATTATTTCTATCTAACTGTTCAGTCATAAGCAGAGAATCGGAGAAACATTTGTCTCACTAACATCGTATGACTTGGAATTTCATCAGTATAACGTGTAACATTTTATGAATAAATGTTTCCAGTAAATTTTCGGAATAATGAAGGCTCATTTTGATTCGATCTCATGAGAGTGACTGTATAGTTTACTTCTGAATCCCTCCTCTTCTAAGAATCCATTTATGTAACGGAAACGCTGATTCCTGTGAAGATAGTTGTGTATGTTTATATATATTTTATATATATATATATATATTTTATATATACTTTTCACGTTTAATTATTTATTGATGGATCTATTTAGTTTCTCACTTTTGTAAAATGTTTCTGGATTTCTAGAAACAAATAGTACTGTATTTAGATGTAGTTCATTGAAATAAAGATATTCAATTGATGTAAAGCATTTTCAGAAGAAAAAAATTGTCGGTCACTTGTTTGTTTTAATCTAATGGTTTTATTATGTTATAGGATATACCATCTACAGGTTTAGATAGTTGGTTCAAATTGGAAGGTCGATCAAATCGATCCAAAGTTCAAGGCTCAATTCATTTGGCGCTTAGTTTAAGTGCACAAAATGATGGGAATAAAACTGAACATGATAAAACAGTGGCAATTCAAGAACATATTCAATTATTTTATTTATTCTCTCTTCATCAGTTAAAACAAGAAAATGTAAGTCAAGATGAACTGTACTATTTTAGCCTTTTGTGAAGTAATTAAGTTTGAAACAAGAACTTTTAGGTAGACTGTGAAAATTATGACAGAGTATGAATATACTTTAAACATCAGCTAGCGAGGAGAATTATTTACTCTTATTTTACTAACAATATTTCCAAATAACCTTTTATTTTTTTCATTATAGAGTTATGGGGATTGTTGGTTCACATTGAAATCATGAATGAATCTTTGTTAGACCACCATTTGAAACCAAGAAACATTAGGAGGCTGTTTCTTACTAGTATGAGACTCTCTTCTAGTGCGCATCCACTAGCCCTGCTCATAGGAATTGAATTCAGGACATGCGGTCTCCCGAGCGAACGCTCAACCTCTAGACCACTGGACAGGCATCCATAGTGTTAATGTATAAATTTAATCAACTCAAGGTTATAACTAGCGACTAACTTCATGAGGAGAAGTCTTTCGAAGTTCGAGTGAGGTGTAACCAGTACAGTTCAACCATGTTGAGTGTAGGCGATTGCTACAGGAGATAATGAAAGCGGTTGCGCAATAAGTTGGATGGATAGAAGTTAGAAAACTACACCGTTGGATGCCGGCCCAGGGTTCTAGCGGGTAACCGTTAGTGCGCTACATTAAAGATTATCCGTTCATTAAAAATGAATCACATGCAAAAAGATTGAGTTTTTCCATACTGAATATCGTCATTTGATAATTCTGTTATTGCTATATCTCCAGATCACCACACTATTTCCGTTCACTTCATGGAACTTTCAAGTTGTGTTGTTCATTGTACATGGATTTTTCGTGATTAATTGAGATATCTCTACTGGTTTTCGCTATTCATTATCACCTTAGTGAAAATGTATAAATTTTAATCATCTCACATTGTATAATTCATATATAAATACACCTTAAGATGCAATTAACAATATCAGCATCGGAGCATGGACAGTGTTTGTTTACATGAATCATATCGTTTGCTGTATCGTTATTTTTTGTATTAAATAAATTAAAATAAAAGCCTTTGAAAAATAAAACGAAATTCGATGAAGAACGCATATTCCTTACAGCTATAAGTTATTGTTATTGAAATTAAAGAAATAATCCAAAAATGAAAATAATTTCGTATTTCGTAGTTAGAATTCCATCATTAATGTGAACAATGTTCTCTTATTTTATATTTATTTCACAATAACGAAGAGATTGTCAAGTTGATTGTTCAAAGGAACAAGAAAAAAAATTTAAAATCTGAATAATGAACTACCAAATTGGATTGACCATTTATCATCATGTGGTTTTGAAAAACACTCTCATCTCTAGTCGATCGAAGTTAAAAAAAAATCTCCTATCGATTTCATGTATTTTTCATAAGAAAAATGTTGTGAACAGAATTCTCCTTTGTTTTTCTTCCTTTTATCTTTTTTTCCAGTGTTGTTTTTTTATTAGCTTTTCCACTGATTCAATTATTCAACCGATCATTTTGTTTTTTTTTTGGGTTTGAAAAACAAAATATTTTAACAGGTTACTACGTGATAAGGTTACTACTTACTAGCCGTATGTCCTAATTGAATTCGAATCATCCATCTGTTATATTGTCAAGTTCATATTTAACTAGATAAATTTTTTTTAAGCGTCTCTTTTAATATCTTCAACATGTGATCAAGGAAACACTCATTGTACACTTGTTATTCACTAGTTCTAATCAATGTGGAATGTGGATTAGTTTTTAGTGTAGATTTTACTCAATAGATAGGATTGACAAATAATGCGTGTACTAATTAAGAAACAACATAGTTGGTTGGATAAATTCAGCATATTGACTGTTTACTGTTTAAGAAACTATTGTGATAAACACCGTATGTTCACAGTTTTCAAGATATCCTATCCTATTTTGTTTGAAGGGTAAAAATTAATTGTTTTAACGTACTCATAATTTAAGGTCCACAATTATATATCAACGATTAAATAGGATTTAATGAGACGAACACATCTTTTTTATTTGAACCATAGATTTAAGTATTAACTGTAATAAACGATATTGTAAAAGTAGTCTTTTTGTATGTTCAAATTCTTCAATGAACCAGCCTTTCATTACATATTCTGATTAATTTCCCCAATAGATTGTCCATTAAATTTTGTTACTTATATGAAACTACTAGATTTTCCACAACTTCTTATAATCTAAATGCACATTTAAAAGCGTATCTTTTTTTGTCTTTATTACAACTGCAAACATGTAAAACATTAATTATCCTGATCTCTAAGGATTTCATCGACGTAGTCAAAAACAATTCATTTCAATATTAAACACACTATTGTTTATTCAGGCTATGTTTATGGAAATTGTTTTGTTTTTTTTTGTTTTTGCATACAGTTTATGTCTTCTTCTAGTCTTTGGAAATTTTTCTGTTAACTATTTTTAACAGGATGATTAAATTTCCAAGATTTTCATTTGCTGTTATTGCATAGTTGTGTCCATTTTTTCATTAGAAACACAGATTGCCAACGTTGACCAAGGTTACGTAGAATGTAAAACTTGGTATAATATTAATCAGTGTATCATACAGTTAAATATTTTATCAATAAATAATAATTCAGTAAATAAAGGTACATGTTAAGTGAAATTTTCTAGTAAAGTTACTCATCATGAACAATGCTTATTCATTTACCCTAGATAGAGAGTTTAATTACACCGAACCAAATAGTCGTATACAGTTAATTATTTACTGGTTGTTTATACTATTTTATCCAAACAAAGTAAACAGATATTGTAAATCCGTTTTGAGATGCTCTATTACAGTTTTCAACATTATTTCAGAGTACTGGAATGCCATGGAATGGGAATATAGTTGCGGAAGGTGAAATTATTCTCCATCAACATGCTATTCTAAATGGACTGACAGAAATTCAAGTAGCTATGTGGTAAGTTAGATAGATATTTTTAATGAATAGTAATATTTTGTTGAAAAACAGAGAAATTAACTAAAACCAAATTCACTATCTTTATCTAAGTTATTTAGATGTTATCAACAGTGTGGTTATTTGCTACCATTTCAAGTAATTTACTGTATGATCCAATTTGTAAATTATCTAATCTTATTACATTACCGAATGAATGATCGCATTCGGCGATATGCATCAAAGAGGATATTGATTTTAAAGCTTTATCCTGGAATTGGACAAAAATGATAGAATGTTTTCTATGCCGTCTCTATAAATGGATAACTGAAAGCAAACCTGCTACGGCTTAGCACACTAAAAACATGTACTTCTGTTTTACAAAAATTAGTTCTATGATATCGACTGAACTAATATTAGGTTATGAACTGTGTATTTGTTAGCATCAATGTTGAAAACTTATAGGACTATTTATTTTGGGGCTTTTTTTTACCTCAACAAGACTTTAATCAATTTTCGTATAAAATGCCCTGACCGGTTTGTGTGAGACCAGATCGTCCGAATTGTATAGCGCAACTGCATCATATTCTTCAGAATAACTCTATCTTCTCGGTATTCTATTTTGTAAAAGAGAATAATTGCCTTAAATTGTTTTCGATGGATAATATGCTCAATTTTCAAAGTGAACTCTTCAATATGCTTGTTGTTAACTAGTAGTAAACAATTTTTTTAAAAGAAAGAAGAAGTCACCTTCCCCAAATACCTCACTTAAAAAAACATTTCTGCTCTTCTCTTCAGTTGTTTTACGTCCTGGACACTTAACACAGTTATTATTTTATTGTTGAATCTGTTTTTTTAGACGTTACAGTTTAAGCCACAGTTTTTGACGTAAAAACTGACGAATTACAGAATTAGACTCGTTTTACCATGGAACATTAGTTTATTCTTTATTTAACTGTTTTTCTGTTTCCTTGGTTTACAGTCAGTGGATAGCATTGGTTCGTTTAAATTATACCAGACCATTAGATCAGATTGTTCTTTTGCATGCGTTCAAACATCTTATATCACTGTGGTCAGACAAACTGCTTACTAGAGAAGAGGTAAGATTTAAGTTCGGTATTTTAAGAAAACATTTCTTAGAAAATCAGACTGTATTTCCTGTACCACTTTCACATCACAATCACTTCCATAACTTGAGTACTTTATGTTGTATAAACTTGTAATATTTTATCTATGTGAAAAATGTTTACTAATAATATGAATAGAATAGTTGTCTCAGTAAGTCTTTTTTTATTCACTAGAGGTAATAAAGTACGTTATTATACTAATTGAAAATAGAAATCGCAATATTTTGTTACTCGTACGGAATAAATTCAACTATTTTACTAATAGAATTTCTAATTTGAAACCGAGCATTGATTAGTGTTGTCTACATCAAAAGCATTCGGAAAGGTAAACTACAGACAATTTCAAATTCATCCATAAACTTGTAGAGGAAGTATGCTATGAACTATAGTCATTCATTTAATTGAATTGCAACTGAAAGATTATTCTTTTACAGTAATTATATGTTTGCATTCTATTCACGTAGCTGTGTTTTAATGCTGCTGAAGTGGCCTACATGGTAGTTGATTGTGATGACCGATCATTACAAATGATGGCCCACTTCGGTCAGTTTTCGAGAACCAAACAATTAAATAATAATCATTTGTTCATCAGTGATGGCTTCTTGGTACTCCAGTAAATATATGTGACTGATGAATTTCAAGCATCTCATGAGTAAAGTAGATGCATATCAATGGCATTGGTTAATTAACAAGATACACTGTGCATTGACTCTATTTGAAAGAGTGAACTTTCGAATTTCAACGTTGTTTTCTGAGGTTCACACACGAAGTTGAGAGATCTAATAGCATAACACTTTATTCCCAGTAATTTCTCAACAGTATGATATCCTGAGCATAAAATCAATAGCTGTTTAATATTATCAGGCTTTGAAAAGTCCTCCAGATGGTCGTAACACATTGCGAAACTAACCAACAACTTATCAGACAAGTAACGTTTCGCACTACACTAACACTCAACTAGATATAGATAAAGAGGACGTTCCTTTAGTATGATAAGGTTTTACACGCAGTTATAACAGTTTATATCGTGGAAAATGTTTAGATTGTTTCCTGTTTCTTTGAATAAACCTGATAATGATTAAATTAGGTTTAGTGACCAGTGAACTACATTACTCTACAATCCTATAAATTAATAATTTACAACCTTTGGTATGTTGCTCATGGAAAGCATATTTATCTGTTGCTTTTCCGCATAGTGATATGTATAATTTGCTTATTTCGGTCACGTACAATCATAGATGTTCAACCCTTAGACAGTTTTGAAGGATTTGCTTGAATTACTGTGTTTTGTATCTTTAATGAATAGGTTGTGTGTGCAATAACATTGTTTCTCTGAATATCAGTTGGTCTTTGAAACACCTAAATTTCAACTATAAATTTTAGTAGTCAACTGATTAAAAGATAATAAAGTGGTAACTTTTAAACGTTTTACTGGTATTAAAATGTTAACATATTGTTATCATATTAAACTTTGAAATGTTATTTTTTTTTATATTATAGCTAAATTATTTATCAGATTCATTTAAAATATTCACAGAACATTCTTTAACCACGATATGTAATCATAATTTGATCTTTCTTGATGCTCAGTCAATTAAAGTATTGGATTTGAATTATTTACTTGAGTAAGTTAGACACTTTTGTTTTGAATTTTTATGAGATTATGAACTGATTACAATTTAATCCTGAGCATTGATTGCTGAAGTTATGGACATATGAATTATTTAAATAAAGGATTGAATAAGAGAGTATATGAGTTGTATGTAAGATTCTATTGCGACTTGGATTTTAAACTCACACTTTAAAATACACTTGTATAACAATCGAGAAACGGTACAAATTGTACATATCCTCAAATGTAAAATTAATACTACATAAACTCTGTATGCACTAAAATGACCAGTTGATGAGTATGAAAAATGTAACGTTGCTAATCTTGTGAATAAAATATAAGTGAATATAAGCAATTTAATTTTATTGGTCATTTTTATGCGCCTTCACGGTAATCTTAAAGTCACTGAATAATTTAGCAAGTCATAAAAATAAATTATATGATCCCTTTTTTCATGCTACAAAATTTCAGAAAACTATACTTTGTTCGACAGTGGGTAGTTGATTTTATGAGTTTATTTTTTAATTAGATTTATGGAGATCATTGTTTTTACACATTTAAAATCATAAATCCATCATTGGTAGACCATCATTAGAAACCTAGAAGCATTGGACGGTAGTTTCGTCCTTGTATGGGTGTCTCATCACCAGTGCGCATCCACGGCTCCTGCACCTCGCAGGATTCAAACCGGGGACCTTCGGCCTTGCGTACCAATGCCTAATCTCTGAACCACTGGACCGGAATCCACTAAATGAAGGTCACTTTTCTTTCATTGAATTCTCCTTATATGTTGATTTCAACAATACTTATGATGTTGTTTATAATTATACTTTGAATTGTCTGTTTTCATTTGCAATTGGAACTGTTTGAATTTTCCTTTTTTTTCATTTTATATCAATTTAAAGGTGTTTATGCATGTTGCATAATTCACGTCTGTATCAATTCAGTTCACCTTTTTCTAATTCTTTACAAAAAGAATTTATCACATCATTTAAGGTAGACCATAATAAATTACATTGTGAAATGTTAATTGTTACACGTTGTAGTTGTACAATTAATTGTTGTTGTAAAGTGTAATGTGTTGTAAATTCTTTTTTTTTTTAAAACAGTAATCACATTGAAGTACACAAAATAGGGCTCAACTTTCAAATATGTTTCTCAACGTACGCTTAAGGTTGATGCCTTTTTCTACATTACGCATGTGTTTTTTTAAAGTTTTCATACGACAAAACTTGATTGCACTCATCAATCTTGACTTTATACATAAGGTTAGCCATTTTTTTCATCCAGAGAGGAATATGTGTATTCCAGCAAAGAAGGTTTTATTTACAACGTGATCACTTAGTAAAGCTGTTTTATTTTATCTGGAACAATGGAAAATTGTCTTTCATTTATATGATCCGTAAATTCTCTTCATCTTCGTGTTATTCCTTGATTTCCGACTGACTGCGTAGTTTTTCTCTAATACTTGAAGCCTCCAAATACTTGATGACGTAGTCTTCCTCTTTTACTTTCCTACATATTTATTGAAACTCATTACGCATTTTGAAGCATAGATAACCGATGATAGATCTTCAGCTAACCCTGCCTTGAGCTATACTTTCCAGTTGTTGCTAAGTGGCACTCATGTACCTTATGTCTGCCTCAAATTCCTGCAACTAAGTGTTTTTAAACCTACATGTTCTCTACATAGCGTACTACTTGTGGCAGCATTTTCGGGGTATTAAAACAGTACCAGTTGTTGTACTAAGAATGTTTTTTCTCATCCCATACACCTAGTAGACTATATAACTAATTTAGTTGAATTAACATTTTTTGCAAAATAAACTATCGTTGTTAGGATATTAATGTTGTGTATTTTATAAGCGTTTACTTAAAAGAAACAAGAAATATTTCATTTAAATTCTTCTACTTCTTTAGAAATTTGTTATTGCACGATATGAGAAACACAAAACAACTGCCTTAGGAAAATATGATGTAAGTTTGACATAGATGTGTAGATTTCATTGTGACATGTTTCATTCAGTCAAATTTTTCTAACATCTTTATTACCACTTGTTAAATAGTGATTTTACTCAAACATATATTCTGAGTAATATAATACTTGAATCCCCAAAGCGAACACTTATTATTATTATTTTTGATTTTGTGCGCTACATCACTTAGCATCATAGTTCATGAAGAACAAAATGGAAGTAAGAACTTATTATTATGTAATCTAAATTTTTATATGCAGTTTGGTATTTTATCATTTTCTCATTCACTTATGGCTAACCTGGCCAAATCATATGACATTATTTGGTAGGAACTATCAGTGCATTTTCATAGCATATATATGCATATATCAACAGTCTGTTTAGCGCTATATGCTTCGTAGGGCTGTTCATAACAAACTTTATTTTATATAGAAGGAACGGTTTGCTTTATGAAATGTCTAAATTGAAAGACTACACGTTGATTGTTTTACTGTCATTACTTAATCAGCCGTTTAACTGTATGAGAGTATCATGTTGAAAAAAAGACAAGCTGAAAAGCTAATAAAAATTATTATTGTATTTAATGAATATCAATCACTTTTGCTTTGTTTCAACTTAGGAATCAGATTTGGAACATTATGAAATAACTCAATTAATATTATTCATTAAATTACTAATTGTCGATTTGGAAAAATGTTGTGAAGTTTATTCTTCGATTATTGAAAAGTAAGAATGATCTTTTGTGCGTAAAAATGAGGCAACCCCTGTCCACGAAGATACATTTCTGTATTTCTGTTGTTTGGATTATTAATATTCAAAATGAATGACTTGTTCATATTTCCCATTATGAATATGATTCTTGTGATTAACGGTCCCGGTAATTTCATCAAGTGTTGACGGCATTATCTAATTCATTTTAATTTGACTGCTTATGTGTATTCTTGCATTACGACTCGAAGTACTAATTGCATTTTGTCTTAATCCTTATTTACTATGGAAAAAATCTAAGTGGTTGTATTTCATAAAATTAGTTCGCCTATAAGTCTGTTGTTTTCTAGGCTATTCGATTGTATTAATTAGCAAACTTATGAATTTAAGACCATAGTGTATAGAATGAATAAATGAATGAAAGAGTTATTATTCATGCATAGAAAAGCTTTTCTAATATAAATAAACCCATAGGAAATACGTATAAAACATGCTAAAATATCCTTAATTTAAAGATAATTCAAGCATAAATGACAATAAAAATTACGTGATAAATTCAAAGTTTGACTTTTGCAAAAGAATATCATTTCAAACATAGTGTCATTGATGGTTGGTGTTATGTTGTAAGAAAGAATGAATGTAGTTTGGATACTTTGAAACCTTTCACTTCACTTTTCATTAGTATGAAATTAATAAATGGTCGGTTGGACATCACAAAATAATAACAATAATCTTTTGAAATCATCAATCAATCATTGTTAGACCACCATTATAAACCTGGAAGCACTGGACGGCCGTTTCGTCCTGGTATGGGACTCATCAGCAGTGCACATCCACGACTCCTGAACCTCGCAGGATTCGAACCCGGGAACTTTGGTGTTGTGCGCGAACGCCTAACCATCGGTTTGATTTCACATGTGTAAAAACACAAAACCTCCAAACCTCTGCCCCAAAATATCGTAACAGTGCTCACTAGTGACTAGCTTCGTGAGGAAATTCTCGGAGTTCTAGTTGAGAAGACGTGACTAATGGAGTTCAACCCTGTCGGATGTAGGCGGTAACTACCAAAGACAAATGGGTGAGGTCGCTCAAAAATCCGTAGATCAATCAGAGTTAGACATTAACACCGTTGGATGCCGGCCCAGTGGTTCGATGTTTAGGTGTTTGCGCACAACACCAAAGTTCCCGGGTTCGAATCCTGCGAGGTGCATGAGTCATGGATGTGCACTGCTGATGAGTCCCATACCAGGACGAAACGGCCGTCCAGTGCTTCCAGGTTTCTAATGGTGGTCTAACAATGATTGATTGATGATTTCAAATGTGTAAAAACACAAAACCTAAAAAACTCTGCCTGAAAATAATAATCTTTGCTGACAGAGTATATTGAGGGATATATTAATCTTAGGGCTGTCTCCAGGAACAGACTACCATAGTTTCTTCAATCTGATCGATATGCTAGTTTATTTGAAGTTTCTTACATTATTCAGTGTTATCATGATCAAACTATAATTTTCTTGAACAACTGACAATAAATAGTAGATTAAACATTGCTCTACAATTGTACCGAACAACGTCCATCAGATTATTCGCAATTATTATTCTATTTAATGTTATGCTCATAACAACTTAGTCAGAAGGTAACTTCATGAAATTTCTTTCAAAATAACCATAATTTTTGAAAAAAAGTTTGAAATTTAATGAGTATGTATCAGTATGTCGCACCTTAATTGAGCGCAAACATTGATCACATTGAATACATTTTTGATCGTTCAAATCAAAACTCTTGCTAAACAACGATAGATGGTTAACATGAGATACATATTTCATAACTAATGCTCTGTTTATTTATTTTTCTTAATTTTTATTATGATTATCGTATAATGTTAAAACCTGTTATCAATGCTCAACAACATACTTGAACATACACAAAATAATTATGGCTGCTTATTGTTTTGAAAATAATCCGTGTACAGGGGTTTTAAATTACTTTTTTAAAGATATTATTCAAAAGTTTGCATTAGTTATATGACAACTTTAAGTGAAGTTAAAAAGCTGAACATAGCAGCAATTTCACACGGCTGCATCAATGCAGGTGTGTTTGAAATCTATTTGACTTGGGTAAATTCGGTAGACTGCAAACAAATGCGCGAAAGCTTAGTTATGGCTTTCCAGAGAAAATGTATACGCTCATGACAAAATCATGCATTTTTTACTGCAGCACATTATGGCATTTCGCTATAGCATAAACTTACTTTAGTCTAAATTACTGAAAATTACATAATAGGGATTACGCAATTATTGGACACATAGATTAACAGCTAAATTTTTATTAGAAGTCAACATTATTAGTCAGATAAAGCGATTTCTAACTCGGTAGATTGAACAGATGTAATGATGAATATATAAGACTATGAGAATTGCTGAATTTGTAAGCTTACATTACATGAATGATTTTAGTTAGACATTAATTGAAAATACTAGGATTGGACTGGCATTTTATTCTGGCATGAGACTGTTTCAGTATATTTATCCATGACACCATTAGGGATCTAGCCTAAGATCTTCAAGTATCAAAGAATGTTTTTAATATGTAAACCATTGAATGCTAACTTCCTAGTTTAAAGGTTAAGAGTTAGCCTCATGATCTTAAGATCAGGGGTTTAATTTCTGGCCTAAAAGTGAATGCACAATGTCGAGGAGCTCTATAATAGATAGTTCAGGCCTTCAGATTTTCAATGGTTGCATAGCTAAGGTCAGTCCATGATGACAACTTTGAGCTTTAATGTTGCTACAATGTAGTTAATGCAAATCGCATAAAACTGTTTGAAACATCATCTTCCATGTTTAAGTTTAGAATTCGTTGTGAAAAATATTTTATGTTCAATAATGTAACTTATTGGAAATCTGATACCAGATTATATTTGTGAGGAAGAATTATTTTTATTACCATTGGCTCACTTGAAAACGATCTGGTTATATTCTAGTTAACTCAATATAAACTAAAGTTTTAGTAAAACTAACTTCCCACTAAGAGATAATAATAAAATGATGCGGTTAGATTCAGGTTTCTTCCTTCTCTTTTGATTACAGATATCTAGATTTGGATCCCTTTACAATTATGTACAGATTTTATGTACATGCTGTGAGTTATTTAAATAATCTCAGATATCTTCAATTATTGACATCTTGATAAGTAATGTTAGCAATGAACTAATGGTTTTTTTACTTTTATTATTGTAGGTTTATTTAAGCTTAAAAATGAATATTTCTAATGTTTAGTGATGCTTTTGGTTATTCTAACGTCAAGGATTCTTAACTGTTAGATGAACGTCCTATTTATAAATCACATTAGTGGCTTGATGAACTCAGTAGCTCAGTGAATAATGCGTTTTTGTTTGGTGTGAAAGGTGCTGTGTTTGAGACCTACTCAATACTGCGATGCAGGTACATCTTGCCTAATCAGTGCCATGCAGTCGGAAAACGCTTCTTCAGTTCCATTACTATGGTTGACCGATACGTCCTAAGTGACTCTCAGTATTATTTCTGAAGAATTTTCGGCACAAACTGGGTAAAGTGAATTTAGAAGGGATAATAAGTATAAATAAGTTGTAATTAGACTTCACACTAGCATCTCACCAAATTTAGTCTTTCATGTAGACAACAACATATGCGAAATAAACTGTTCTGATCCTGCATCCATCCCCTAGTACTAGTTTCGGCCTAATGAACTGGTTAAAAATATATTATGTTTTATAGATCTTTAGAAACTTTAGAAACGAAATTTCTATCAGGAAACCTTTGAGGTTCATATATCATCATTGAACCTCAAAACTGCTTCATTATTGTTTTAAAGGGATTTCAAATCTCAGATGAGCATACTTTATTGGTATTTAGTTGAGTTTCAAGCAAAGCCACAATATATTTTATAGGCAGCTGGGTTGAGCGATCGTACATGATTTAAAGGTTGTCCTAAAAATGTATACTCAGAGTTGACCAGTAGAGAATTTTTTTTAATTGCAATACAGTCAACACATTAATGTTAATTGTACAAGGGATCAGTAGCATCTTTAACGTCTGAATTCCAGCTTTTATGCTATGAAACTAGAAAATATAGGATTGTATTGCATGGGAAACACAAGTTATTTCAGTTTGCAAGTACGTTTCGCTAATATGCCCTAAGAATCACATAACTTGGCACTTCGGTTATCCTACACTTATCATTAACCACATCACATCAATAAATAATCACTTTGACAAGTTGTCACCTAATCGATTCCAATCACCTCTAAGGACTAGTATAATATGACATCGATTACTCACTGTTCATTCATTTGTTAGTATGAATATTTAATTATTGGATTGTTTAAGTGTTAACATGTTGATTCAGTGGACCTCATAAAACAATACATTTGTTGCATAAAATTATCTAACCTTAGTGTGATTTAAATTTTATCCAGAAAAGGATACTTTATGTACATTTATTCTTGATATATTTACCTGGTATATTACTCATACTTACTTTGTATTACAGCTGCATCAAGATTACATAAAAATCAATATTCTACAAAACCTTACACTACCAATAATAAATCAAGAATTGGAAATTAAAACTTCTTTAACAACTGGCAAACAATATTTGACAAAATCCATAGAACTGAAATCATTATTTATCCTTTATTTATTACTTAAAAAGTTTGAAAGTATGTTTTGCATGAAATTGAAATCTAGGTAAGTTCAGTATGCTAAACTAATAATTGTAATTACGTCTCGTATTTGTTTAACCATGATGATCATGTTAGTTTTACGCATGGCAGATAGTACTAAAAGAATCTATTTAACTGTTTACCGAAATCTGTTTTTGATATTTTGTTCGGTTGAGATGGTAGAGAAAATTTGCAGCTCAAGTGGATGCGTATGGTGATGTTGTAGAGTTGAACAATGAAAGCTCCACAACCAAAACATTCAGCTCAGAGAAGGAAACCCCACCATAATTTTATTCAGCAAATGCAATGACTGTCACACTACAATTAATCACATAATTTACTGAAAGAAATGAAGTTCTAACAAACCCTATGACTGATGAGTGACTGATAAGATTCTACAATTGTCAAGTTATTGTTTCGCATGTCTGGCCAAATATGAATTTTCTAACAGATACATATCAAGGTATTGATTAGCGGTCACTGAACCAATTCTTCAATAAGTTTGTTCTCAGGAAATAGGAGTTTTTTCTCTTGCCTTTGTACTTACATTAAATTTGATTACTGTTTTCATTGACCACTGACTTCCATATTAGCCTGTAGGTAGAAAAAATTCGAATGAATAATATTTTTTATTGAAGCGATTCTATTTGCAGAATAATTAATTGGTCATAGATTTTATATTCATTCGTCAAATTTCTAAACTTTTATTTTAAATGCATTTAATATAATGACGTGTACGGCAAGCCAATGTGTACTATTTAGTCTTAATTTAACCTTCTGCGTTTATAATTGAAAAACATCAAAAGCATATAAAAAAAAATATCAATAATTGATCATTATCACTCAACACTAGGTGATCTGATTACAATTTATGACACATTTCATTTTAATCAGTATCACATACAGGTTACATTATTCTTCTGATCGTAGTGTTAGATTCTAGAAAAAAAAAGAAAAAAACAATGCATAAATTCAATGTCAACTGACATATACAATTAGTTAGTTTATTTATCTAATTTAAATTGAAGAAGATAATAATTGTCATTTCACTTTCCATGCAATCCTATTACCACCAATCATTTTGTTTATCTCAATTGTTTATCAATCAAGTTGAAAACTACTAGGATTACCAAACTGTTTACTATGAGAAGCTTTAAAAACAAAGAGAATGAATTCATTCATTGAGTTTTCTCCTTTTTTAACGTAAATATGTATTCTGTCAAATAATTGTTAATTATTGGTTACAATTATATATATATACTTTTTGTTGGATTTATATATAGTGAAGCACAAAAATTAATTGATTTTGACTGGTTTTCATGGTTCCGACCAGTTATTTCATATTGGATTCAACAATGTAATTATCAACTGTTATCGAATTTAGACAAGGGTATACAAAATGATCAGGTTAGTGAATCTGTTGCAGTATTCGACATAACATAAACATCAGCTAAATTTAAGCACTTGACTATGTTTAATGGTGAATTTCAAGTGAAATGCTTTACATCATAACAAAACATAAAGCAATTCAAATGACTAACATTTTTTTTATTACAAACTAGGAGAAAACCGCTTCGGTAACATGATTTATTCTGTTGGAAATTTTATTCTCCGTAATATGTGACGTTTAAAGCAATAAGTCGTTCTTAGTTTCATACTTATAAATCACAGATTTAAACCATTTGCGTGCTAATATAAACCAGATATTTTTATGAGGTTTGGTACGAGAATAAAACTCAGTTTTAAACTGCCTTTACAATGTCAAGATGCACTGATAAATAGGGACTATTGTCATCGAGTTATAAATAAATTCTAACCGCGATAGGATCATGAAGACTTCTGTTGATAATAATAATAATAATGATAATAATAATAATAATAATAGTAATAATAATAATGATAATATACTAAAACTGTACCTTACATCTTTTGAATATTTTCATGAAATATTTAGTTTCATTGTATTGGTTATTAGTATTGGCAAAAGGAGAATTTGCTGTATGGATTAAACTGATAAAATATAAAGACACTCATCTGTCATTTGAAGCTAATCTGCAGCTGAAAACATCAACTCACGGCTATTAAGCGACCAGTTAGCAATTAGTTCAAATGTGTGTCAATAACTCATTGTGAATTTTTGCTGTATTTCAGTATATTAGTGACGTTAGTTTCTCACCAAACTAAGGTTCAGTTCTATTAATATGAAACATTTGATAATGACTTCTATCATATCCTTGTGTGTGTTAAAACCTACAAGATATCCTATTCTTACCGGTCTACACTTATTTTCTGGTGATCTCGAGATGCATAGTCTTATGTTTTGTAAGGAAGGAAATATTTGACTAAAACTACGCATACTTCATGGATGTCTTGAAACTATTACAGACAAAACTTAAGGAAATAGAAAAAAGTGAATTATTTCTTGTATTATAAGGCAACATGGTTGTGTAGGTAACATTTTCATCTTACAAAACTGCAAACCTAAAGCATATTGACATCAAAAACCAATCCACATTAATATATGAGAAGAAACTGTATAAACGGTAGAAATTTAGAGTACAATAAAAACAGGATGAGAATGAAAACATACAAATAGTCACCTACAGATAATGTAACATTTGTGCAAGCAAAAATTCCACAGAACGTCCGAGAAATTTAACAAAAGTGTGTAGAATTGTTTTAGAGCTTTATATTGGCTCATTTACGTTCTGCAGTTCGGTAAGTAAACTTGTTTAAAGTCATTTGAATCATCTACTGTATTGTACTAAATAATCTGTTTTGTTTACAAGTACGTTATGTACGTTCAATTGTAGTAATCATTATTTGTTTTAAAAAACTCTGCAATTTACATTCACGATATGTATAGATAATTGCTATAAGCACCACCATCATAAATATATGTTTCAGCAGGTAGAGGGTTAATGTAGTACAAAGTAAGAGAGTAGTCTGTAACCGCAAAGATAATGTATATTTTTATGGCGTGATGGGTGTATTTGCCCTAAACAGGTAGTTCAGGATTTCCAGCATATAAAAGACTTCACCACTTCTTAATGAAGTAAAATCGTACGATGTTTGATAAGTTTTGGGTTACCATGTGCATGGCACAAAATGATAAGTCTCTTTGTATTAGCAAGACTTCTCTAGATAAGGGGTTCTTTCATTCTACTAATGAAACACTCACTGGTAATTATCTCCAGAGATATAGAAAAATATCAAACGCTTTCTATGTGTCCTGCAGTTAGGGTTTGATGTATAACTAATCAACTAATCTCTCTATATTGGGACGATCACATAAAAGCTGTCGGTTAGCCAATTGGTAATAATCACAGAATATGAATTTTTATGTTCAGGCACTAATGTATCGTCCTATTAACCAGTTCCGTGGGCATTTCACCGATTAATCTTGGTCTCCAGGTGTAAAAATCAAAGCTGTGGTAAAAGAACCAGATTTCACAGTTTTGAACACACATCTTGTTGACATTACCTTTTTACCAGTTTTTTTTTAACTAGAACAACAGTTTTTTCCAACACAAACTCTATTTGAGCCTTTTTGAAAGGGATATCTTGTCGAATTTCTCTTTCTATGATAAATATCTAGCCATAGGAGTTTTACCTTTATAATAATGACATGAATCTATCCAGTTGATAATATACAATGCTCGTATAGACTACGTGTTTGTGTTAAAGTAATAAAAATTTTCTATCTTGACAGTTCGAGTCTATGATGAAGCGAATTTTATTTCAAATTAAGATTTGGTTGAAATAGTGTAGTATACGGTCATTGATGGTGTTTTTTACTCGAAGCTTTAACTGCCAAAAGAAAATACTTTCTAAGTTTGCATGAAACCAGTATTTTTTTATTTATCTCAGTTAATTCATGAATAAAAGAAAGGAAACTTATCGAAAATAGATCACGTTTAGCTGATAGAACCAAAGGCATCAGACGTACCCGATCGTCTTACACGTATTTTACTAGTTGATCAGTTTCGCTCATTGAAAATATGCTCTTCAAATCACCATAGTAATAAATAAAATAGGATGACCTGAATCAATTATTTGTTAGTTCAGTAACATTCTATCGTACCAATACATTAAACTCATAAAAGTTTAGATTTTGTAAAATGTTTTGCATTAGGTATATATACGAAATGTGACTAATGATCTTCTTACAAATCGAACTAACTTTCGCCGGATATACATTACCAGAAACATAATTTTAAATGTTAAACTCAATTGCAAACTAATTATCATCTGATAACAATCATTATCTAAATTAGTTTAGTTTTCACCAAATTATATATCTAGCTCATTATTTCATAGGACTTTTTGGATGAAATTATCGAACACATTTTGTTAAGCATTGTAATTATATTCAAGTCATGAAGCCATATTTGTTATTTTAATAAAATTCTTTCAACAGTTAAGTCATGTAATATATGTGAAAATAAACTTCGTTTTGTAAACATGAAACTATGAGACATTAATTAAGTTTGACGTAAGTCGGTCAATCGATTCCAGTTCTTACATTATTTAAATGATAATTTATCAATGTAAAAAACAATATCCTTTTTTAAAATTTTGAAACATAAGAGAATTACATTCTAAAGAGTCTGGCATACCAGTTATTAATTTCATTTGGTTAAAATAATAACTGATCTACTTGCTTAAGCCTATTGCTCCCAATGGAGCATAGGGCGCTGACCACTGTCCTGAGCCTACCTTTCTATTTCTGTTCAATGTTTGTTCATTCTTCACATATCTTTCTCTATTTCTCGGAGTAATGTGCTCCTTGAACGCCCTACTTTCCTTTGACTTGGAGGGTTCCAAGTGAGGGCTTGTCTTGTGACTCCTCAGTGTATGTCCTATCCACTTCCAGCTCCTCTTCCTGACTTTTTTTTCCTCTGGACGCTCGTTTTTCCTCTCCAACAGTAGGTTGTTGCTGATGGATTCTGGCTAACGGATTCGAAGTTTTTGCGTAGAAAACTGTTAAACAATAATTGTATCTCCTAGATGATGTCTTTGGTAGTCTTCCAAGTTTCCGCCCAGTCCAGTAGAATTGCCCCGACATTTTTATTGAAAATTCTGATTTCGGTGTTGGCTGAAAGTCGTTTGCATTTCCAGATGTCGTTTACTTTTAGAAATGCTTGTCGGTGATACTGCCCAGATATGTAAATGTTTTTGCATCTTCCAAAGCTTCTCCATCAAGTGTGATTCGGTTGATGCATGTTGTGTTGTATCGGAGGATCTTGCTTTTTCCTCGTTGTATGTTGAAACCTACTGTTGCAGAAGCTGCCTCTACATCGGCCGTCTCTAGCTGCATTTGTTGCCCTGTGCGTGATAGAATAGCCGGATCATCTGAGAGGTCCAAGTCGTCTAGCTGCCTCCGAACTGTCCATTGTATTTCTTACTTCCCCTGAGATGTTGAGGTTCTCAAAGTTGGGCATGTACGAAGGCCTTCATTCTGTCCAACAATACCCCGTTGAAGACTTTGCCTGGTATTGAGAGAAGAGTGATGATGATGTAGTTCTCACATTTGTTGAGATCTCCTTTCTTTGGTATTTCGATGAGGTATCCTTCTTTCCAGTCTGTTGGGACCAGTTCTTCATCATAAATCTTGTAGAGAGAGTGTGGATTATTTTTGCAGTTACTGCTACGTCTGCTTTCATTGCCTCTGCTGGAATTTTGTCTGGTCTTGCTGCTCTGCCGTTCTTGATTAGTCTGATGGCCATACTGATCTCTTCATTTGTTGTTGGGCCAACATTTATTTGGACGTCTATTGGTGCTGCTTCGATGTTGAATGTGTTCAGAGAGGCCGATCGATTCAAGAGTTTCTTAAAGTGCCCTACCCACCTGTTCGCTGTTCTTGAATGTCAGTGACTACTTTGCCTTCCTTGATTTTCCTTGTTCGTTTTGGTCTACGATACTTTCCAAAGAGCTCCTTTATTGTATCATACATTTGTCTCATATTTCCTTCTCATGCAGCCTTATCCGCCGTCATTTCTAGATCTTCCAAATATTTCCATGATAGTTTCCTTTTCGTTGAGTAGACCGTGCAAGGCCTGGAACATATTTCTGGTAGATAGATAGATAGATACAACGCATAACTTCGTACGTAAGTACATCAGTTTAGGTTGCCATACCACATCAGCACAGAGGCGCAACTGTCAGTTCAAATCCAAGAGTGATAGCGATAGTAGAAGTATTATCAGTAAAGAGTGAAGATATGGTTCGCGAAGTATAATTCAGTGCGATAAATTTAGAAGGAGAAAGGTAGAGATTATGAGGAATTCAGAAGGTTAAAATTAGAGGTAACACAAAGAGTGGATGCACGTGAGCCATTGCAAACGATTTTGAGCTATTTCGTTCAAGGTCTCTAACCATCGGTGACTATCGTCTTGCGGGCTCCA